ATTGAAATTGTATTGAAATTCTAATTGATTCTAATGTATACAAGTGTTACAAGAAGGCTGAGTGTGTACAGTGTGGACATAGGCTAGCTAGTAACCCCCGACCACTTTATTCACATCTCAGAACCGTCAGGTTAAAATACGCCGCGAAGTGTCTATGGCCCAGTATAAAGGGTGAATAAGTTGGCGGGACATCGGCGGGTCCCTATATACCTGCGGTACCCTCTCCCCAAAGTCATTAGCAAAATCGTCGGTTAGGTCAGGCGGGAAATTTTCGCGGGAGATTTCCGTTATCGTAACACGGTATAATTTATCAATTTTCACAACATTGCATATAACAATTTATACGTTTTTACAATATTCTTCAATGGAAACATAGGTATTAGCGTTCTCGTTACTTACTCGTGGTTAAATTAATTTCGTAGGGATTAAAAATCAGGTTGACCTGTGGTCGTAGATTAAAAATCACCATAGTACAGCTAAATTTATCGTGATAAATAATTCTTTTTACACGAATCAAAAATGTATTCGACGCTTGTTTGTTATAATATCGTGAAATGAATTATATTACACATTTTCTCTATTCACACTGAATTTAAAGATTATAACGATTAATAATCAAGTTGACCTGTGTTCATTTATCAAGAATAATCATAATAAAGGTGAAATTATTGTGTTAAATAATTTTTTGTAATACGAATTAGGAATTTTTTCAACGTTTGCTTGTTACAACACCATGAAATAAATTATATCGAAACTAAATTAGAATCCAAACTTACTGACTCTTGTAGAGAATTTACTGTAATTCGTTGGTGGAAAGGGGGACGCGAGGAAAAACGCCGAGGGAAGCAGAAAGGGTATAAAGGTAAGTTTCGGCAGGAGAGGAGAAATGGCGCATGTTTTCACGGTTCCTTCTTACCCTTCTTATTTCTTTTCACTTTTCCCTGCCTGTTCGTCGATTCCTCGTGGGTTCGACAGGATCGAGTGATTGTATCGTGTCCTGGGTTATACCTGAGCAGCAGCCAGCAGCCGTGCCTCGTTGTTCAAGCCGCGAATGACGTCGAGAGAGACTTCGGGACCGGTCGATTGTTTTTCGGCGACGGGCGAAATTGATTACTCCCCGGTGTCTGGGGAAATATGACGTAATGGTGCTTTGTCGTAAGCGTATTATCCAGGTGTCCTCTTCTATTCTATATTTTTTTCACTTTTCTTTTTTCTCACCTTTTCCTCTTTTTTTGTCTCTTTGCTTTCACTTCTCGCGGCGGCGTTGCGCGAAACCTGGAGGCTTGAGAGATTGAATCTGAAAATGTTCCGAGGAGAATTTGACATTTGCGAGATTAAGTGATGTTTCTTGCGGTCACGTTGTCCATGATGATGATAAATCATCCGTCGATCGAAATTTTTCGAACCTCCGGGTCCTCGTATATCGGTGGGAATTTTTAGGTTGAGTACCATCGATCACCTTTCTTTTTTCATCAACCTTCTATTTTCGTTCTTCTCTCTCTCTCTCTCTCTCTCTCTCTCTAACTCGCTCTTTTTTAAATCGTCGATGGTGTTTGGCAAGCGTTCGGCGTGCCGTTCGTGCAAACAACAAACTCGTTTCCATCGTTACAGCGAGAGAAATCCGTGGAACGATGTGTGTGCGCGCAAACGCTCGTGTGATTTGAGTATCGTTTCTGCTCGATGGATAAACACCGATAAGACGAGGCGTACTGGACGAAAAAATAAAAAGGAACGTTTCGTTGTTAATCCACGGAGTGGAAGAAAACTCGTCGGAATTAAAGGGAAGAATAGAAAGAAAGAAAAGAAGAGAAGGTAAAATAACGAAACGTGCAAGAAAATATCGACGCAGGTAGAACGAACGTGGTACTCGTGTTACATCATTATTACATTTATTGAAACAGTATTCACGTCGATGAATATCTTTACAGTATAATAGTCTGTGTACTCGTTTACCGCTTTTTTTTTTTTATTCTGGTATTTCTTTTTTTGTTATTTTTTCTTTTTCTCTTAATCCTCCTCTGCCACTTTGATTTATGCTGACGTTTCCTTTTTTTTTTCCTCTATAACATGGTACATTATCGATTATGAATCTTTATGTACAATGCGATCTAGGCTTAACTAATAAATTGTGCAACATTCCGTAATTATGCGAGTCGCGCGGACATCGATTATCTAGTGACACAATTAAACGTGTAACTTGTTTCTCTCTCTCTCTCTCTCTCTCTCTCTCTCTCTCTTTCAATTTACTCAGCGATGAACGACTGAACGAGTTTATTTATTCGTTTCACTCTCGCACACAGTGAAACCGATAATTATCGATATCGTGTGGAATGTCGACGTCAGAGTCTCTATGTAACATCGAACCCAGATCGTTATCAAATCATTCCAAAGGAACGAGATTGGAATGTGTTCAAGAACAAATGATATTTTTATATTGTAAAAATCGAAGGAAACTTTTTGACCATTTAACGACAACTCTCATACTTTCTCTCCCTCTCTCTCTCTCTCTTGTTCCAATGTCATTTTAAATCGATTTAACATCCATCATGAAAACGCTTAAATTTCCTCCAATAATATCACACACGAACAACTTCTTCCTTAGATCGTTCCTTTCTCTCTCTTTTAAATAATCACGTTAAACGTTCGCCGCCGTTTTTTTAATTTAACGCTATTGAACCACGCGTCAACGTCAAAATATTGTCCTCTCACAACGACATAAATTACCGTATAAACTATACAAGAATGAATAATATATATTTCACGAAATCTTCCACTTCTCTCTCGTCTCGTGCAACGTAACACCGCGAATCCGTTTAATGGCAGTGTCTGTTCATTTCTTTAAACACCGTACACCCTAATCTCTCGGGTGGTACAACATTATAAAAAATCTATTTTTAGAACCTATGGTTATGTCGCTCCTTAACTCGCTAAACCGTTATGATATCGTTTCATTTTTTCTTCTTCTTCTTCCTCCTCTTTCTTTAATCGTTACGTTAATTATCCGTAGTAAATCTACTAATTAAAGTTACTAGTATCGTGCCTTTGGATTGTGACGAACATTCTAGGAAGATAATTGAGAGAAAATGAAAAAGAAACGAAGGAAAAGGAAATTTTTCCATTTAGATACTAGAGAAGAAAAGAAGACATTTCTAAGCATCGTTTTCGCGGAATCAGACTAATTCGTTACCATCGAAGAAAATATTGAAAATAACGCGAAACGACAAGATTTATTGTATTTATTTTATAGACATTCGCCCGTTTAAGCGTACTTGTGGAACGATAGTCTCGAATTCGATGCTTATTCGATAGCGATTTCTCTTTATTCGCACACTCATTCGTCGATTTTCCTTTCTCCGTAAACTTTAACAGAATGTTCCTTCCCTCGCGTCTAACGAATACCGATTATAATCTTAATTATACATTTACATTATCCTCGTATGCTTCAAGTCACGTTCATAGAATTCGTAGATACTTACGATGGTGATCCTCGCGGAGAGTCTGTGATTGCATTTCTGATTAGACGTTAAACGACAAACCAACGACGATCGATCGTGGCGAATGAAAAAGATTCTAGAAAAGACACAGAGAGCGAGCAGATATCGTGAGCAACAACGGAATCGACACGCTTAATTCACGTTCACCATCTCTCTCTCTCTCTCTCTCTCTCTCTCTCTCTCTCTCTCTCTCTCTCTCTCTCTCTCTATCCTGAGCAAACAGAAACATATCGAGCGTGATTAGTGCTATTATCGTTCCTAGAACGAGCGAAAACGATTACGCTTCGATGGAACAGACATTGGTTACAGACACATCGATGCAAACGAAGGCCGACGACCAATCAGACCTGGGCAAACTCTGAGCGATTCAAAAATTCACGTTGCTCCTTAGCACGTGAAGAAAAACAAAGAAAGAACAATCTTCGAATCAACGTTCACGTGGAAATTTTCATATTTTTCCTTGGACAGACTTCCCGATGAAAAGATCGAACGATACCTTGGTTTATTTTCTTATGTACAATCGTTGCCCAAGTCTGACCAAGAAGTGTCTTGTCATTTCTCGATCGAATTTATTCATTGAACGTCCATACTTCTTTCTTTATATATACAGAGAAACTTAAGCTACCTACGCGATACGATTCGATTAATTATCGGCTATCCGACATCGGGTTTCGAAAACCTTTGATTTTTCACGTGTTCGACAGTCCGTGAGACAAGCTCTTTCACACGTTCACACGTTTCCCCTCTCTTAACTTTTTTTCCTTTTTTCTTATTTTAACGAGCACGC